AGCTCTACGGTATATGAGTCACATCTAAACCGAGTAATTTAGAAAGGTTGAAATGAAAGGATTGGTAAAGTTTCAAGGAAAATGTGAATCAAAAAAGCAGAGGTTACCATCACATTAAGTATGGCCAAGAAAGACGCAATTCACTACAAAGATCTGCAGTGTTACTATCTCTGTGTTAAATGACATTGCATCACCATGCCTGGTGTAAGGCCACAGCTGTAGATGCAAGAAGAGACAGACTGGGAACAGATGAGTAGTATGTGTCTCATTCATTTCTCCATCCATGACAGGTAAGCAAGGATACAGAAGACATAACTAACATCATTAATGGGGGAGACATGATTTGTATACACCATACTCTGAATCCCCGAAATAGCCACACTTCTTTCCAAGTCCCATTTGAAAAGTCACAAAACTCACAAAAACTGATTACACCACAAAGAAAAATTTAAGTCCAAAAAAGTAGAAATCATGGACATTCTCTGATCATAATGCATTGTAACTAGAGAGAATGAATTACAAAAGCACCTACTACCTGAGTGGACAGGTGGAATTCAAATGAGCCTTAGGTCAAAGAAGAAATCAAAACCAAATTATGAGAGATTTAAAAAATGATAAAAATACCTTCTATTGGAACCTATAGGATACAACTAAAGCAGTGCTCGGAGATTTCATAGCCTTAATATTTTTTTTCTTGTGTTCAGTATGAATTAAGCCTCTAACTCAAATTTTTTAAGAAACAAGGAAAGTACAAAGAAGATTTAAATACAAATAAAAACATAATAAATTAGAAGCCAGAAAAGGGTAATTACTAATAAATCTCAAAGATGGATCTTTGGGAAGGGGAGGTTGGTAACCTCTTAGCTAACTAACTATCCTACTAATCAAGAAAAATGGGGCGCCTGGGTGGCACAGTTGGTTAAGCGACTGCCTTCGGCTCGGGTCATGATCCTGGAGTCCCGGGATCAAGTCCCGCATCGGGCTCCCTGCTCAGGAGGGAGTCTGCTTCTCCCTCTGACCCTCTTCCCTCTCGTGCTCTCTATCTCTCATTCTCTCTCTCTCAAATAAATAAAATCTTAAAAAAAAAAAAAAAGAAAAATGGGGAATGGGGTTGGGGAGGGAAGCACAAAATATACAAGAAATAAGGATGAAATAATCATTTAAAAACGGTAAATTAATTTGTTCAACCTCATGCAAGTAAATTTGACAGCTGGATAGAATGAATACTTTTCTAGACAGACATAATTTACCAAACTCATTCAAGGAGCAGTAGAACAATTATTAACAGATCAATTATTACAGAAGAATCAAAGAGCTCCCACCCCAAAGAAAGGCACTGACCCAGACTATTTCATGGAGGATCAACTAATCTTTAAAGAACAAATAATCCATTTCAACTTAAACTATCACAAAACATAGAGAAAGGAGGGAAGCCTCCATTTTCTTTATGAGGCAAGCATAACAGTGATCGTGAAACCCAACAAAAATTGTTCCAAAAAAACTGAAAACTAATCTCATGAAATTGCAGCAAAACCCCTAAGTAGACAAGCCAATCCAGCACTATATTGAAATAGTCACCATGACCAACTGGGATTCAACCAGGAATGCAAGGATAGTTTGATGTAAAGGGATCTTCTATCTTTATTCCTATTACATGATTAAAGGAAAAAAACATTGTCTTCATAGACACTGAAAAGGCTTTTGGTAAGCTTCAACTTCCATTCTTAATTTTTTAAAATTCTTAATAAAACAGGAATACTTGGACACTTACTTAACCTGATAAAACATCTGCCCCTGAAACCAGCATTGTGCATGATGGGGACATCCTAAAAGCTGCTCATTAAAGTCAGGAATGAAGCAAGAGTGTCCATTATCACCATTATTTTTCATTGTTCCAAGGATCACAGCCAACACTATTAAGTAAGACAAAGAAATTAAGGTATAAAGCTTCCAAAGTTGGAGGTAAGGTTATCATTTGCACATGATAAAATAGAGTAACTGGAAAATCCAAGAAACCAAATGGAAAAACCATTACAAACAATAAAAGAATTCAGTAAGGGCAGGACTTAATAGCCTTTATATAAATAACCTCCATTTCAGGAGGAAAAGACTAGCCAAAAAAAGGGGATACCTACCCAGAATTAAACTTTTAAAATATGCAAGATCTAGATGAAGCAAATATTAAAACATTCCCAGAGACACAGAAAAGTCTGAACAAACTGATGGTCCTGGAGGGCATCAACATAAAAAATAGTTTCTTCCTGAATTATAAATTTCATGCAATCCCAGAAGAAAAAACAAACACAGGATTTTTGTTCTTACCCAGATGAGTTGATTCTATAGTTCAGGCAGAAAAATAGCCAATTTCCACTTCTAGGAATTTAGGGTGGGGGCCTAACAAGGAACAACAAGCACCACCAAATATTAAAAGGGGTTATGTGCATGATACAATGCAAATGAACCTTGAAAACACGATGCTAAGTGAAAGAAGCAAGTTGCAAAAGACCACATGCTATAGGGTTCCCTTCTTAGGAAAGTCCAGAATAGGGTAAAGGGTTTCTTCTTGCGGTGATAAGAATGTTCTAAAAATGACTGGGGTGATGGATGCAAAATTCTGTAAATATACTAAAAAACCTTAATTGTACACTTCACATGGGCGGGTTTTATGGTATATGAATTCTATTTCAATAAAGTTAAAATTTTTAATGTATTATAACTCTGTAACAATTAAAACAGCATTGCCCTAATGACTTGCATATGCTTGAATCCATGCCTTACACTTTATACCATGTATTTAAAAAATTAAACCATAAAAAAACTAGAAGAAAGCCTGGGGAACTTTAAAAAAAAAAAAAAAAATCTCAGCATGAGGAAGGACATTCTAAGTATGACACAAAATCCAAAGGCCCTAAAAGTAAATACAGATTTCACTTCACAAAGACATGGCAGAATCAAAGACAAATGATAAACTGGGGAAACCATATGCAATGCAGGTGACAGAGGTCTAATCCCGCAGTATACAAAGAGTTCCTATAATTCAATAAGGACAAAAAGCCACCCAATTGAAAAAACGGACCAAGGAGATGAATAAGTTCAAAGATAAAACAAATGGCTCCAACATGAAAAGACAGTCATCCTCATTCATGTTAAACTTAAAACTACACTGTGATCCTACTTTCACTGATGAGGTGACCCAGCCCAGAAGACTGATACCATGCTGTGATGGTGACGGTGTGGGCAAACAGGCTGTCTCACCCAGAGTCATCTCAAGATGTTCCTCAGACTACATCTATCAAAATTACAAAGGCATAGACCTTTGACCCAGTATTTCCCTTTCTAGAAGTTTATCTTGTAGATTTAGTCACACCTTGGTGACACATACATGGTTGCGTATTGTCACACTGCTTGTAAAGACAACAGGTTGGGTCCAGTGTATACAGAGGACTGGTCAAATAAATTACAGCTCCCCCTTGTTATGGAAAACTAAGTGGCCAAAGAAGGAAGAAGCGCTTTAGATGCTGACCTATAGGATGTATGGCTAAGTGAAAAAGGGAGGTGCACGATGATGTCCCAGCTGTGCTGGGTCATGCAGAGAACCATCTGGAAGGACACACAGGACAACACGGGCTGCCTCTGAGAAGGGGGGGAGGCAGCTATACAAGAGGAACGAGATGGAGACTTCGATCTGTATACCCCTTCATTCCTTTTGTACCCTGGACCACAGGAATGCACTACCTGTGCGCCTGCGTGGCTCAGTCAGGTAAGCGTCTGCCTTCAGCACAGGTCATGAACCCAGGGTCCTGGGATCTACTCCCGCATCGGGCTCCCTGCTCAGCAGTGAGTCTGTTTCTCCCCCTCTCTGCCCCTCCACCTGCTTATGCTCTCTCTCTCTCTAATAATCTAAAAAAAAAAAAAATTATAAACACCTATTAAAAGGAAAAGAGTAACAGTGTAAGCACAATGATGAAGGGCAACCAATCTTGTGCTATAGGACAGCACCAACAGGGAGACAGCTGTCCCCCTACCCTTTTTCTTACAAAGAGAGCAAGTGCATGCACATGAGCCGGGGGGGGTGAGGGTAGGGGGGATGAATCTTAAGCAGACTCCACCATGCCCAGCATGGAGCCGACATGGAGCTTGATCTCACAATCCTGAGATCATAACCCGGAGATCATGACCTGAGCTGAAATCAAGAGTCGGACGCTTACCTGGCTGAGCCCCCCAGGTGTGCCCCGATAGCTGTCCCCTTTGAAGAGACAATAATAGTTCATTTCTGAGAGCTGCAGTTTAAGAACCCAGGCCTATGTTACCAGATCCTCTGATTTTTTTTTTCAAGAGACATTATAAATCCAGATTATGCAACTCCCCCCTGTTTTCAAATGTTTCCAAATACTTCAAATTACAAAAAAGACCCTATGGTGGCTAAAAAAAAAATCAGATCAGAGGGTTTGGTATTCCTGTCCTAGATGGTCAAGGAAGACAGACCCCTGGAGATCACCAAGTCCAGCTCCCTAATTTGACACACTGAAAAAGCAAGGCCCAGAGAGGGGAAAGACATGCCCAAGATCACACAGCAAATCGGGCCCCAAGCTGGGTTATCACTGAGGACTATGTGCTTCCACATAGTCCTCTTTGCCACCAGTGCCAGAAAATCATGGTGAGTGAGACAGACATGGTGCATCGTGGGGTCCCAGGCAGAGGGCTGGGGTTGGGGTCAGAGGGGACTCCTGGGAAGGAGGTCACACTCCATGGGAGTCAGCCAAAGGGGGTGGGTGCCATTGTGGGGGAGGGGGTATAGCACAGGCAAAGGCCTAGACCACGGAGAGCTCTGGGCAGGATCGTGGTGGGTAGATGTTCTGGGGTTCCGGTGGCATTCCCTGCTGGGATCTGCCCCCACAGAGGCCTGAGGTAGGAAAAGCTGGGAGTGGACTCAGTGGGCAGAGGAAGGGGACAGAGGCGGGGGCTGGAGAGGCATGCGCAGGGGGAGGGCGTGCACTCACGCTTTCGGAGCTCCAGGCTCTTGCTCGGGCAGGCCAGGTGTTGGCCCGGTGGGTTCTGGGTCCTCTGGAGACAGGCCAGCATGGCGGAGCTGGGGGCCCGCGGTGGGGCACACGGAGCAGCAGGGTCCCTGTGAGGAGGGAGATGAGGTACTTGTCACTTGGCTGCTCCGTGCCCTCCTCCCACTTCCCCCGGCTACTTCCAGCAGCCTCCTCACTACCCAGCAGAACATTGGAGACTCTCAAAGCAGATACTCCTCCCTTATCTGACAGATGAGGACACCGAGGCCTAGAGGCACCAAAGGAAAGAAAGGAAAAGAATCCAGATCTCGAGTGGTAGATTTCCACCATGCCGGCGCCAGAACTGACCGGTCCCACATGCCCTGGCCCTGCTCACTGTGTGGGTCATCTCCTCCAAGGGGCTGCGCCGATGCCCCCAGGCCTGGTTAGATCCTCACCCCCTACCTGTTTCCTCAGCAGGTTGCCCTTCCAGCCAGGCGTGGCCTGTGGCTCTCCTGTCACCACCTGTGAGTGGGTCTGTCCCTGCTCTTCAGTTTTGAGCTCATGGAGAGCAAAGACGCCATGGGGTAACCTTTGGAAGGTACACGGGGGTGGGGGTGGGGCGCCCAGGAACTGCCAGTAGGCATATGGGTGTTCCAGTGTACTGAAGTGTTGTTCTGGAGCATTCTCACAGCACCCCTACAGGGAGACGTCCAGGACGGCCTCCCTGGGAGAACGCGGTCTCCAACCCTGACCAGTGCTGAGCCTAAGCACTGAGCCCAGGTCCCAAGGGCCACCAGGGTTCCCAGAACGCAGAGCCCCTCTGAGGCCAGGTGAACATGGGGCAAGGTGAACACAGGCCAGCTGGGGCCTGCCCTGGAGGCCATGAAGAGAGGGCGGGGATTTCTCTGCAGGGCCCCTCCCTTCCCCTCGTCCAGGTAAGGAGCCAGAACCAGCAGCCAGACGTCTAGCCCTGATGTCCACCCAACCCGACCCGAACCCAGCCCCACAAGTGTCCTGAGCAGCCAAGCTGGGCCAGCTCAATCCTCCTGCCAGTTCTTAAAAAAAAAGAAGAAAGACGGGGTGGGGGGGTGTTTAAGGGGAAGAAAGGGGAGTTATTTAATACTAAACAGGTGTCTGGAGCCCTTAAATTCTGCTGCTTTCTTCTAATAATGAAGTATTCATGAGGAAAAGCCTTTTTTCACTACTTTCTTAAGATACTAATTTCACAACAAGCTCCTTGTTACGGCGCAATTATTCCAATCTTGAATTTCCCCGAGACGGTTGCAGCCTCCTGTCTGTCCTGGCCTCTCGGTAAATGAAAGACAATCACGTAACCACCTTTCATTATGCTCTATTTTACTTTCAGCAAAGGTACCCTGAAAGAAATGATTTACTCTGAAAGGGACTTTTATTCAGTTTCAAAACCAATTTTCTCCTATTACTGTCTCAAAAAAAAGGGGGGGGGTGGATGGGGGAGGGGAGATGGTTCTCACCCCCCACCCCCACCCCCCAATCGCCAGCCTTAATGCAGCCACGATGCAGTCAGAGCTGCGCTATCCACTTCCCAGCTTTGATTTCTGGTAATTTTAAAATATGCCATTACAATCAGGCAGAAATTACACAGTTTAAAAAGGGAATGAAGTGGGGTTTATTGCAGGGATGAAAGCCCTTGACAGTGGGAAGGAGGCATCACTCCCGGGGGACAGGGGACCCAGGCCCTTTAGGACAGAGCCGCACACACACTGTCCCGCGCGGACACCTGGGGACACGCGGGCAGGACGCCGTCCACGCGCACTACGTACATCTCCTTAGATGGGCACGCCGCCGCCCACCCACACCCACAGCGCCGCGCCCCTCCGCGCCCCCTGGCGCCCTCGTGTGCACATGCAGGCTGTCCACGGTCACGCGCAATTGCATGCGCGCCTGCAAGGTAAGGGGCCGGCTGCGCAGCCTCTCCCCCAGACACGCCGGCCCGGCCCCGCGTCCACCTCTCACCGCTCTGACACAGGGTGTGGGGGACAGAGGGGAGAGCCCGAGAAAGCCGGCCAGCCGCAGGTGAACGTCCTCTCCACCCGCAGATGGGAAAACCCAAGCCAGGGAGAGCTAGCACCCCGCCCAGGGCCACCCAGCAGGCAGTGGCTAGATAAGCCTGCCCCCTCACCAGCGGGTAGCCCCCAGGGCTGGGCTGGAAACTACATACCCCTGCCCCAGTGCCCACTGTGTGACCCCAAGGGAGCCTCTGATCCCTCCCAGGTCATTATCCAACAGCGTCCTGACCATGCCCAGCACCCCCACCCCCCACCCCTGCAGGTCCTCCTCACTTCTTGTCTTTCACTGGGTGCCAGGGGCCCAAGAAGCCTAGCCCCTGTCCAGGTCCTCCCCTGCAACTCCCCATGGGCTGCACATTCCAGCATGCTTTGCCGCTGAACGAGGCAGGCTGGGGGCTGTAATTGTTGGGGGTGAAGGGCAGGCTGCCTAATCTGGAGCCTCTCTGGACCTCAGCAGCTGCCCTCTCAGTGGGGCTCTGGTTTTCAGAGTGCTCGGATGGTGGACGCCTAAGTAGTTCTGGGAGCCGAGAGGTCACCAGCTCAGGGAGCGACAGAAGATTCCCCCAGAAGAGACAGGATCCATGTTCAGGCCTCAGCTCAGTACAACAGCCTGCATCATCTCCTCACTGGCTTCTGGACTCCCCACAGCCCAAGAGACCATCTTCACTTGAAGGGGAGGGGTTTTTCTGTGCCTCTAATCCCAATTCACTGTTCGTTTTCTCAGAAACCCTGTGCCCTGCTGCTGGGGCAGGTGGGGGGTCAGTGTGGGAGGGGACAGGAGCCAGCCTAGCACGGTGATGAGTGGGTTACCGCCAGTTCCCGCATCATCCCAACCATCTACAACAGGACAGAGTCAGTCCCCTCTCCAGCCCCAGAACAGAGCCCAACTTTCTTTGCCTATCCCGGCCAGCCCTCCTAGCCCTCCCTCCAACCAGCTGCCCCACACCCCCAAACCTTTGCCCGTGCTGGTCCCTCTGCCCACAGCACCGCCACCCCAGTCCATTTTAACTCAGACTCTGGCTCAGCTGTCCTTCCTCTGGGCATCCCCCCACACAGTCTTAATCACACCAAGTGGTAACTGCCAATTTTCATGTCTGTCTCTCTCCATTGGACTGTGAGTTTCTCAGGAGCAAGGACCATGTCTTATTTGTCTCTTTCTCCCGGTGCCTGGCAAAGAGTAATCATTTAATAAATAGGTGCTGAATGACTGGCTGAATCAATGAATCACTTATTGTCAGACGAAGTGACCAAGGCCCAGAGAAGCCAAGCATCCTGGGAAACGTCACACAGCAAGCTGGGGACAGGAATGGGGCAGGCGCGTAAAACGCTCATGTTCTTCCCGTAACCCCACCCTGCCCCCTCTCTGCTTGGCATCATCCCATCTGCAGAAAGCCAGCTCCTCTGAGGCCCCACCCTGACTCATGACTCCCCCAGCCGGGGACCATCCGGAACGCTGCTCATTTTGAAACCCTATCTGCAAATCAGGCTGTTTATAAGCCCAAGGTCTTTTGTGACTTTAATAAAATAAAGGGGGTGGGGGGGAGGGAGGGAGAAAATGTCGCAAGCCTCAATGATTAGAATGCTTTGGCATCATTCCTGACGTGGGGGCTGATAAGACGTCTTATCTCAGAGGCACCCCTAGGAAAAGGTCCCCTCCACCAGATAACACCCCCAGCTGTCGATATGCCCTTTCATGGCTGAGGATTTAGATAAAGGAAATGTGACAGGGGAGGGGAAAGAAAGGAAGGAACTTTCCAAGTCCGAGGAAGAATTGAGTCTGTGCTGCTTGCCTCGGCAGAACAATGCATAGGAGAAGGATGTCTAAAGGCTGTCTTTATTTTTATTAAAAGAACAGGGAATTGGGGCCTTTGGCCCTGCCTGCCTTTTGTCATCTCTCCCTGCCTGTCTGGCTGCAGGGGGCCTTGGGAAGCCCCCAGCCAGTGGGAGGGGTTGCTTACAATAACCATGCACACATTAGTACTAATAATAGCGCTGCCCATTTATCGAATGTTCCCTCTGTGCTGCGTCCCACGTGCATCCTGTCCGTTATACCTCACTGCTGCTTCCTAGCAGCCTCTGTGGTGGGTTCTGTTTTTATCCCCATTTCACAGATTAGGAAATGGCCCCAGAGAGGGGAAGTAATCTGCACAAGGTCACACAGCTTTTAGGTGTCCCCCCAACCAGAGACTGCACCCTCGGCCTCACACATGTGCGGCCACCACCCTCGGCTCCATTGTGGTGGTGGTGGGGTGCCCTCAGCCCCCAGCTCCTGGGCAGCTGGGCAGGAAGGAGCCGAGGCAAAGGCCTGCTTCTCCCCAGTGCCCAAATCCACTCTGATTCTACTCCAGCAGGGGTTGGGATCACAGGGAAGGAGGTGAGGAGGGGAAGGAGGAGGAGTGGCTCCCAGGAGGCCACTTACTCATCCCATAAACATTCGCGGAGGACAGCGTGGGAGGCCTGCAGAACAATACTGAGAGGAATAAATCGCAGACCCTGCCTCTGGGAGAACCGTTCTGAGGTGGCTGTCATTTACCCACCCGTTCACTCACTCATTCATTCATTCAGGCAGCAAATACTCCCTGAGCAACCTTTGAGGGCTAGCCCCGTGCCATGTGCACTGTACAAAAATCAGTAAGAATGTCCTGTCCATCCTTGGGGCCTGCTTCTCCCTCTCCCTCTGCCTGCCACTCCTCCTGCTTGTGCTCTCTGTCAAATATAAATAAAATCTTAAAAAAAAAAAAAAAGTCCTGCCAATGTTCTCTTGAACATCCAGTAAGAACTGACTTCCCACTCCCAAATCCAACCCAATGAAAATGAACTTTCCTGGGGCGCCTGGGTGGCTCAGTCAGTTAAGCATCTGCCTTGGGCTCAGGTCATGATCCCGGGGTCCTGGGATCGAGTCCCATGGTGGCTTCCTGCTCAGTGGGGAGTCTGCTTCTCCCTCTGCCCCTCTCCCCACTCATGGGCTCTTTCTCTCTCTCAAAAAATAAATAAAATCTTAAAAAAAAAAAGAAAATGCACTTTCCTGGCTTCT